CTTGATACTAATCCATGGAGAACTTTCTTAAGGCTATGTTATATAAAAGGTCAAGATTTCTTTTTTTCTCCAAAGTTATTAACAAAGAGTTGAAAGGCTCATTCATCATCTCCTGGTTGACAGTTTGAGATGAATTCACAATATTTGTTTTAAACCTGAAACATGGGTCAAATCCAACCATGGGGTCACTGAAATAAACAGAACTACTTGAAGGATGTATATCCCACTGCTGTTCTGAGGGTGTAAGTATTTAGCCAGGAAAAGAGCCTTTTCCCTGGATCCAAGACAGGAAAGCTCCTTATAAAAGCACTGAATGGGAGACCCTGATTGCATCACTCAGAGTGATATGTTTCTCCAAATTCTATGCTGAAAGCCTTCTGCCTTTTTGGAAACATAAGACGATCCACCTTCAGAGGTGGTGAATTTGGAAGAGTTTCTATACTCCCGCCTGGTCTGCAACTGGGAATATTCAGACAGCAAAACAATACTATGTATGTCTCATGGATTCCTTTCAAAATGGCTCTAATCAAAATGACAACTTTGGTTTTTAGCCATCCAGAATATCAAATAGGCTGATGATCAGTGCGTGGCAGCTTATGAATAAACAATAGAGATTATGCCCATTTCCTTCCCACAAAAAAAGCAACACACATGCATACAAGGAAGCTTAATTCAGAAATACTTAAAAATGTAAGTCTCCCCATTTGAGATGTTCTCATCAGTATCTTCTCCCCAAGAAAAGCAAATGCAGATGTGGAGGGGGGAAAAAATTCTGCAAGCAGTCTGCTTCCTGCTGCCTTTTTTTTTTTTTTTTTTTTTAAAAGAGAGTAATTTCATTTTTTTCTGTAAGCCCTTCTGGTTTTCACGATGATGGCTTATGTGAAATCAGAGAGACAAACAAATACTGGTAAAAACACCTCTGATAGTTACAATTCATTGGCTGTTTCCCAGATCTCCCATTATGTGGAAGACCCAAACCCCACAATCTCTCAGAGTACAGAATTGTGAGCAAATGTTTCCCCTTCTTCCTTTCTCAAAGCCAATGTTTCCCAGCTAACTCATTTTATTTTATGTAAAGATTTCACAGGTCCTTCTTAGCAGGAGACTCCCCAAGCTTAGATTAAATGGAAGCGCAGTTCTGAGTATACAATGCAGTTTGAGGAGAATTTCTGCTGTGAATATTGAAAGAGGGCTGAAGGTGGCTCAACAATAAGAAAAGGCATCCATTTCTTCTGGGTTTTGTCAGAAAAAGTGGGAAAATGTAATGCCATGCTAAAAGGCAACTATTATGTAATGCCATGCTAAAAGGTAACTATTAGAAAACCTGCCACTTGCTGTAGGAGAAATTGCTGTTGCAAGACCGTGACCGAATAAAGAATTGCACAAGGAAGGCTAGAGGTTCAGCTAGGCAGCACCCACGCCTGCTCTGCAAACCAAGAACAGGCTACAGACTCACTCAGCGATTATGACTTTTTCCACCTCTTGAGAAAGATCTGCAGCAAACTCAGGACTTCTGCAGATTGCTCTGGGCTGAAACGCTCACTGAAGACCTACGGCGCTCCAAACTCCCCACCAGCACCATGCATGAAACTACAAGTATCTCCTTGCTGCACCCACCCCTGATGCTACGACAAGCCCAGAAAGAACAATATGGTAGCAGCTACACAGACCCACCTATGAAGTAAAGTTCTCAGTTCTCCCTGGCAATGGGCTTTCTCTTGCACAGATAAACAGTCAATATGTCTCTCTCCCGACTGATCACAGCTCATCACCCTGCACCTTTGACAGGCTGGGCAATACTAAAAAGCGTTGACAGTTTGGGACAGCTTTTTCTATAGACAACGAAAACTGCTGACCTTCTATGGCACTGTTTACATAATGTAAGAGGCCCGTTTCAGTGAAAATGGCATTTCTAGCAGAAGTTTCTTCCACTGGTAGAAAGCCTGGGCACCGAAATGCGCTCCTCTATAACGCCTCATTTCAGAGAGCCCTTTAGCAGCCTGACAAATAGATCCATCACTCAAAGGAATGATATGAAAATTCCCATTCAGGGAATGGAAAATATATTCTCATTAGCTATCCACATTAATTATGCATTAACATTGGGACATTTATTAGACAACAACTGGTCAAAATACACTGCTATGCAGAATCTAATTGCAACTTCCCATGGTATGTTTTGCTTCACAAGCATACCATTGCATCATTTGAAGCTCACTTCATTTGCAGGCTTTCATATCTTTGGCTCAGTAATAAGGTAAGAGGAAGCAGGCATGGCTGGACAGAAAACTGGATCCTTCCATTTTACATTTTGTACTTTATATCCTTTCCCCGTATAGGTAAAGGATCTGACATCTGTTGTTTTGCCCACTTAATAAAGTTTGTTTCTCCCCTAGGTAGTGCATTCCCATTCGTTCTTCCCTTGGTTACATTCCCATTTAGAAGTGGGATTAAATCCTCCTAATAAAACCTAACTTTTTTAGTTAGGTTTCTCTCGTTTTCTTTCTCTCTTTCATTTTTATGTATCACATTGTACCAAATGAAATTTGGCAGCCCTAGTGTAACAGTCTACCCGATTAAGAGGAAAAGGGCTTTATCTATTACACATGCGTGATTTGCCCAGGAATTGCCCTGGCACTGCAATATCACTTCTGGAAAGAAAGCCTTCAAATAAACTAGAAGAGCAGCATCCCACCTCTCTGTGTGCACCACCATCTGCTCAGCACATGCACTTATCTGACAAGCGCTGCTCGGAGGAATCTGTCCTCCTTTTACCTTTTGGAGAGAACTCTCTCATTAATCTATTTTTACATCTTGAAAAGTGCATAGACTTTTCTGAAACGTTTAGTTGGGCAGCAGCACTAGGCCAAACGGACAGGATATGGACTGTTCATACCAAATTGTCTTGTAATTATTGTCTCTGATAGTCAGCAGTGAATACAAGAGCTATTTTCATTTTAAGCTAATTAACCATGGAAAGATGTCAGGCTTGTATTATCAATCTCAATCACCCAGCAGCAGCACTATTTGAAGATAAGGTCAGGATTTGCTTCCAGTGTCTCCAAAGACAAAGGCTTGCTATCACACAGACTAGAGGAGACACCTCCACCAAAGAGGTTCCCAAATTTAGCTTGCTTGGGTGCCTTCGCCGGCACCCAAGCGATAGCAGTAGCAGCCGGTCCCGGCTTTATGATGAGTTAGTTTCACATGCAGGCAGAGGAGAACTACAGCTGTGCGGGATATTTATGTAGATATTCAAATAACCTACAAATCCTGAGAAGTTTGGAAATTCCTCTCTGAAGGATAACTAGGATGTCCCTCCATTGAAACCAGGATGCGGGGAACCTCAGTCACACCCTTCCACTTCCTCCATGGGCAAGGAGTAACGACTCTTTCGATTCTTTGGCAGTTCACCCAGTTATCTGCTCTAGGTTTGCCCCACCCAAGTCTTTCTCTGCTGTTATCAAAGAGCCATGAATTAGACTTAAGCTCAGGCATGAGATGCCTGGGCATGCCCCTGGGCTGTGGCTGATCTGAATTTACAGCATCCCAGAGCCAGAGATGGCTATCCACTACTCCGTAAATCTGGAGTGAAAGCAGTCCCTGACTTGAGACCCCCCCCATATCCAGAAGCCAGGATCGGAGAGGAGGTCAAACTTTGGCTCAGAGGACACGGGCTCCAAAGAAAACAGCGATGACACCAATAAGTTGTTATGGCACGTTATGAAGCCAAGCCAGCCTGGGCTGCCCATGGACTTTGCACCAAGCAGTGCAGGGTTATTTGTATGCAGAGCAAGAAGCTCCCATGCCACTCAAAATGATCTTCACTGCTGTCCCAAGTGGAACTGGTAGCTTGTTAACCTTCGTGGAAGTGCAAGGACTTCGATCCTGTCGTAACATTTGCTCTGGTTTCTAAGTTAGAAGAGCTCAGCAGGTGTGCATATAAAACTATGGAAAAAATCTCATAAAAGGTTAATTTGACTATAAACTATTTTTTCATAGCCTCTCCAAGACACATTATCACATCTCTTTCCACATCCAAAAATAAGTAAGTGATGAACATTTCTCATTTTGCGCTATGAGAAAATACCAGAGAAAGCAGATGATGTTTATTTACTGTTCGTTGTGGCTTAGATTCTTATTAAAACCAAGTGCTCTGTGGCAACCTTCAAGGAGTAAGACTTGTTTTATGGAAAAGGTCAGCTAGGATGAACTCTTAGCTTTGTGGGTGTACTACTTACTAGATGCACCTCACAAGGGAGGTGCTCACTTGGATCCCTCAGTACAAACAGTTTATAAGTTGTATTAGGACTGCCCAGTGGTAAAGTAACCTACAAATCACTGCATTTCAAGCGCTAATTTGCTATGCCATCCCCTCCTTTTCTAGTATGAAACCGGAAACCTGCACTCAGGGTAGAACAGAAACTGGAACCCACCCAAGGCAAACATCACAGGTCTTGCTTGGCAGTTTTTACAGCAGAAATTTTATATGGATGCAAGATGCTAGATAGTAATGCAAATATTATGCTGTACGTGCACTCCCCAAGACCTTCAGATCCTGCAAATACTTACGCACATACTTAAATGGAAGTAATTTCATTAAAAGCAGAGGCGCTACTCAGATGAAAGATGCAATACCTGTCCCTAAACATTTACAAAATTTGCAGGTCATAAATCTCATAGCAAATAGTCTAGATTCCATCTCAGATTTATCAGCTTTTTTGGTTTGATTTCATTAATTGATCCTAGTCACCTCAAATATCCTGGAAAAAGGAACATGGTATTCACTGACTTCTCTAGGAAGTATCATTCTTTAGAACTGGCAGAGTTTAGACATATAAACATGCTGCAGGAATGATTATAGCACACAGCTCTCATTAACAGCCCTTCTGGATTGGTAATCATGCTATAACAGTACAGCGCAAAGTATCTGTTTAATCAAGGTGCTTGCTTTATCTTTTTTAGTAGGAGAGCAGCAAATACTTTCTTAAATTTATTACCTTGGTCGTGAAGCTCCAAGATCTTGTTAACCTCAGTTTCTGTGATGCTGGTTCTCCAGGTCTGTTGTTCATTGCATTCCCAAATATGTCCCAAAGGCCTGTAAATGACAGGTAGGCAAAAAGCAAATAATCCAGCTGCACTACTGTCAGAAATTTAAAGCTTCAGCTGGCAAAATAACTGACGTTGATAAAAGTAAAGGAGTTTTACAAGGAAAAAAGGCAGAAATAGTATGCAGCACTATAACCTTCTCAACGTCCTCATTCAGATTCTTCATTGATAGACAAGCGCAACTAGCATGGGTAAGCAAAGAGAGGAGAGCGTATAATGAGCCTCAGCCACATCGAAAACGGTCACTTCTGTGCTAAAAGCACAGAATGCAGAATGTAGGCACAGCACAGTAAATGCATTTAAATTCACAAAAGGAATTGGACAAAAGATTAAACTGCCAAAGTTTCACAGATAAGTTGAATTTAGGATGTGATATTTTGCGATATTCATGCTCTCTGAGTTCTTAAAAAACAAACTGATTTTTGGCTGATCATCGGAGACAACACTCTGAACTCGCACACGCGAGAGCTGAGGAGTTCTGTGAAACTGTGGCTCAGGCCTCATGAATTTAATGACTTTCATGTACTACAGGAAAAGCAATTGTGTTCTCTAGGGAAGCTCCCTTAAACTCTAACTTGCACTGTTAATCAGGAAGATATTTTAGCGAGCCCTAGAAAACCTCAGAGCTGTTTAATGAACATGGTGGCTAGACTTCCCCCAGCTAACAATATCATTAATGTGTGTTATTGATAACTGTCTCTTTGCAACTGCAGAAGATGCTGGAGCACTCAAAGAAATAAAACCTGGCTCAGCAGCACAAGCTTATTATCGGGAAACCTCCGAGAGCAGCAGTCCCCGCATAATATGAGGCCAGAGGGCTGCCCGCTCCCACACTCAGTAAAAGTCAGCTCTCGGAGAAGGACCCCAAGACGCACCACAACAGGCCAGGTCATTTCAGGGCGTTCGCGGTCAGGTAGTCCAAAAGCTCTAGTGTCTGCCACTGAAAACACAACGAAAGAGCAAAGCCCCATCAAGCCCCCTCGGCTGGAAGAGCCTTTACACCTTCTGCCGCACAGACACTACTCAGCGAGACACTGGTCAGTGTTAGCGGGCAGCGCTTCTCCCAAGGTCAGGGCTTGGGGAGCTGACGTGGCAGTATCCTCACGCGTTAAGATGAAATAAGTCCTTCGATATTAGAATATGTGGCAGTAAATGAAATCACTGCACATAAGGAAGCCAAACAGCAATGTTTATAGAGCCTAGGCAGATGACAACTATTAGACAAGTATTAATACATTATTACTCACAATGTGATACTAAAGATACACATGGCTGCCCTGAATCCTCCAAAGCGTGTGCTATTTCCAAAACAGTGAATCTCTGCTACTGCTTACCCCACGTGTGCAACGCGCCCGGGCTAGTCCTGCCGCCAGCAAGGCCCGGCCAGGCCAGGCCGGGCGGCAGCAGCCAGGAAGCTGCGATGCCCCATAACACGCACACGGTTTCTTATTTAACCACTAGTGGCATCAAGGCTTAATATAATGATTCAAACAAATTACTGCTGCTCACCACATGAGCAACTTAACACGTTTTGGGAGGCAGACGCTCTCTAAGATATCCTGCCTGGGCAGCAGCGAGGGGCAGCGCTATTCCTTCCCCGCTCAACGGCCACCCAAGATGTGCGGTGCAGCCTGAGGATGCTCTGCCTTGCGCCGGCCGCCTGGGGCTCCCAGCGGACCTGGGCAGTGGCCGCGGCTGGCTGAAGGAATACCCGCTCCCCCGCCCCCGCCCCCTCCACGCT